CCACATTAAGGGGACTCAGTTGCATAAGTGCTAGATGGTGGTGTGGGCACTGGGATATGCTTGTGGGGTGTTGGACTGGTGGGGCAGTGAGGGTATGGTTATGTGGGGCCTGCTAGTGCGCGAGACCAGTGGGTGCTATTGTAGTCTAAGGAGTGACACTCAGACTGTTGTGTGGGGTGCATCTTACCTACCCTGGGTGCTCCAAGGCAAGCCAGACAGGGTGGGGACTTTTCTGTGTTGCGGGGCACAGGCTGTGTTGGGGTGTCCATGTCTGTCTTTTCATGAGCTGGGGGTGTGAAAGCCAAAGGCAGCCTGAAACATGTCCTATGGAGTCAGTGAGCAGGTCACAAGCAACAGGGTGCGTCCAGGGTCCCGGTGATGTCTGAAGACTGCTCCAGAGTTTGGGGTGTTGTGCTGTGGAGGGCATGCAGGTGTTGCGGGTGCTATCCCAGCTTGTGCCCACTTCCAGGGGTGTCCCATGCTGGGCAACCCTCCGGGGGTGTTCTGCCCTGGGGGCTGCATGGGTGTGTGTGTCCTCCTGAGTGTTGCTGCGTGCTGTGTGGGCCTCCCCAGCAAGGCAGCAAGGAGGCTCCGCAGGGGCTCCGTGGGAACCAGCCTGGACTGGGCTGCTCCGGGTTTCCGTGGCAACTGTAGGGCGGGGCCAGGAAACCCACTCAGGAAGGAAGGCTGGCCGGCCTCAGTGTGGCGGAGCAGGGAGTGGAGGGCCGCCTGGGCTGAGCCGGCGCCAGACGTTCTGCCCAGCGCCCAGGCCCCTGCTGGTGGCTGCTGGCTTCACCCTGGCTTTGCCCCAAACCTCCTGTGGCCCCCTGTGCATCTGCGACTGCATTTATTGGGCTCTGTGTCCAGGACCTGTCTGTGGGCATTGCTGGTCCTGTACCAGTATGTGCCCTGGTCTGTTTGGTGTTTTTGTGGAGGCATTGGTGGGCTGGTTCCCCTGGGTCCCTGGAGGGCAGAGTCCAACCTGACTGCCCTGCCTTCCCCTGCCAGACTGGGAGATGGGAGAAAGGGAGGCCAGGAACAGAGAGGAAGAACACTGCCTTTCTAGCCACTGGACACCTGAATCTGTTTGTTTCTCTGTGGCTTGTCCTGGCTTTGTAAATGGCTTTGGTGGAAAACCAGCAGGGCTGCACGTGGGCCCAGGGGACTGCCCACCCTCTTTGGTCATAGACAGGAATGGCTGTGTCCACTTCTGGGGTACTGAGTACCAGCTGGTACCAGGCCATACTCTAAGAGGTAGGAATTTAGTAGACAACAAAAAGACCCAACTCCCTGCTTGGGAATATTTTATTCTAGTGTGGAGAGACAGAAAATCAACAAAACCCTAAACATCACAATTTAGGTGTCAGGCCTGAGGAGGGCTGTGTTGGCATGACAAGTTTCTCTTTTCATGAGGTGACTTTGAGCCAACATCTGAAAACCTGAAGGAAATGTGTGAAGGAGACACAGGAGCCTGAAGAGGCCCTGGGGGAGGGGCTGCAGTGTGGAAAGGCGGGGAGTACAGAGGGCCAGGGCCCAGTGGGGTCTGGGAGGGTCTTGCCAGTTTCTCTGAATGAGCCTTGGGGACTTGAGGGTTTGAGCAAGAGTGTGATCTGACAGCTTCCCACAGCCTCAGCACAGCTGAAAGGCCAGGGGCTCTGTTCCTGCAGGGGGCCTGGCCATGGCTGCCCTTACCCAGGGCCATGCTCTGGCTGACCCAGGAGTCTCACTGGTCTCTGCAGGAGGGCAGGGCAGGCTGCCTCAGGACTCCTTGGGTTTGCTGCAGGGACTCAGACCTCCATGCTTCACCCATTGCCCCTGACCCTGTGGCCGTCTAGGGCCCCTGGGGAGGAGGAGGGTGGAGTGGCCGCCAGGCTGGCGGGCTGGCAAGGCAGGAGGGCGGCATTTCTGGGAATTGTGTGGGGGAAGTGCATTGTTAGAGTGAGCCTGCTGCAGGCAGCCAGGGCTGACACTGGCCTCTGGGGGATGCCTCTTGCCTCCCCCAGTGCTGTCTCTGGGGGAGGGAGCTGGGCCCTTGGCCAGGTTATGGGCTGGCTGGGGACTTTCCAGGAGATACTGTCCTGAGCTGGTGATTCTTCCCATTCTGCAGACTGGGAGACTGAGGCCAGATGGCTAGGACCTGCATCAGCAAAGCCAGCAGCAGCAGGGGTGGGAGACTAGCTGCATGTCAGTTCTGGTCTCTGTCCTGTTTGACTTCAGAGGCCAGCATCCAAGGGAGGCTTAGGTGGGATTCACTGGGGTCACAGTTCCATAGAGCCCTGTGGCAGAGACCTTGAAGCCTCACAGTAGGCTGGAGGGTCTTATGGATTGGAATGCAGCCCCTACTCCAGGGTGACAGAGGGGTAGGGCTCCTGAGGCTGCATCATCCCCCCCACTTCCTGGTAATGGGAAATAAAGGGGGGCTCCATGTGAGTTTGGCAGTAGGAGCCTTCCCACCACCGCCCTGCCTCAGTCAAGAGGGGAAGCACTGTGTTGGTCACTGGGGTCATGGCCGGCTTTGGGGGAGGCAGCGGAGGAGGTGGGGGGACACAAATAGAAAAATAAATGGCCTGAGCTTCCGCTGTTTCCTGGCCTGAGGAGGGGGAGGGGTAGGCTGGGGGCCAAATGTGCTGCAGACCTGGTAGGGCAGACCCTGGGGGATATTCCTAGGCCTCCTTAGGGCCATGGCCACCCCTTAGAACTCCAAGCTGGGATATATCCCCCTTAGAGGCCCCAGGATAGTGCTGATTGCCCACCAAGGGGTCCTGAGGGTAGATCTAGGTGTGTCTCTCTTGAAAGGCACCAAGTATGAAAGATACCTTGAGGAAGGGGCAGAATCCCTAAGGAAGCTGGGGGCTCAACCTCAGGGAGTGGGGGGCAGGTGTGGACCTCTGCAGGGGCTCCTGGTGGGGTGAATCTGAGTCTGGGCATCATGGGAAGTGGAGTGGGGGGCCTCCTGTGGTGGCTGGGCTGGGAGGGTAAGCCAGGCTCCTACCAGGAACACTCTACTTGTGTGACACGTTGTTCTTGTCCTGGTTCCTAGGTTCTGGCAACCTGGGTAGTGTGACATCCCTCTCCTCCCCCTGTGCTGAGCTAAGGTGAGGCCTGGGGGACACAGGGCCCTGTTGGGGCAAACATCCCCAGGAGAATCCTCCTGTCCTGATGTCATACCTGGTTGTTGGCTTCCTGAGGGCCTGGAGGTCTAGGGGCCCAGGAAGTTTTGGGGGTAATATGCTCCAGAGAAGAAGTTTCCAAGATTGATGAGGCCCAGCCCAGGGGGCGGGGGGCCTCTGAGCAAGGGCATAGAGGCTAGGACCACAGAAGGGGCCTGGGAACAGGGATTCTAAGACTGGGATTAGGAGTGTTGGAGTTGGTCGGTGCCACAACCTTATAAGCAAGAGCCATTCAGGATGGGCCATATTCTCATCCTGGTTGCTTAGTGGTCCTGTCTGGACAGTGTGGCTCTTGCTGGGAGCTTGCTGGACCTCCCTAGGGGAGGATGAAATGTCCAGGCAGGTCTGTGGCTCGCTCCTGCCACCTACAGGCTGTTGCTGCTCATATCATGGGCCACTTCCAGCCTCAGTGGGACCCACCCAGACGGAAGCCTCTAACACCCCAACTGCCTGGTCTACTCCTTCCTTTCCTCACCTGTTCCTGCTATGAGCCATACTTCTCAGACTGTACCTTGATTCAGCCCACAGGCTGGGCCCACTCAGGAGACACCTTCTGCACAGAGACCCAGCCTCCCAGCCTTCTTCCTCAAGGGCTACACCAAGGGAGCCCAGGGGAGACCCCCTAGATATGGCAGATTCCTTTGAGCCATCTCATACGGCCCTACTGCAGCCCAAGGAGGGAAGCTATCTGGCCTCTTCTGGAGGAGGGAAGTGGGCCCAAGGCATGCAGCACAGCACAGCACTCTGCTCAGCAAGTAGCCCTGGTGCTTGGCTGGAAACTCCTCAGCTCCCTGTCCTTGTGTTAGTGCCATGCAACATGACAGTATCTGAGTGAAACGCATGGGACTGTAAAGGAAACTGATCAATGGTATCAGCACACAGCTATGAAGCATCTCCCCACAATTGTCACCCTTAAAACTCAAGTGCTGCTTTCCTGACTCACTGAAGGGCAAGGTTCACTCCTGGGTGAAGTGATCATTGGGGTTCCCAGCAACAGTACATGATGAATCCTGGTAGTCAGTGGGTCCCTCAGCTTGGGTATGGGCTTCCTTCAGATAGCCTTCAAATCAATTCTGCCCTGAGAAACCTGTGTCTCCAAGGGCTGGCTGGGCAGTGTGCATGGACCTGACACCATGGATGGCGGGGAGCCAACTGTGCAGCCCTCACAGCCGGGAGCTCTGAAGCCATTCTTCTGGGGTTCTTGCACAAGGGTAGCCCCAGAACTGGTTTTATGGGATCCTGACAGCTCGTTGGTATGGTTGGTATCAGCTATTCAGAAGGTGGTTGAAGAGCATGTGGTTCCAGCCTTTCTTGGAGCTCATGGTGTGGCTAGACACTTAGCCTTGACTCCTGCACACAGGATACTGGCCACAGAGGACTAGCTTGGTTAGGCTGGGATGAAAAATAGACCTGGCTCACAAAAAGGGGCAAAATCAGTCCATGTGGAAGCTGGGATGGCTGTGTTCACCCATCATGGGGTACATTTGTAAACACTGTTACCTATAAGGAATCCCATGCTTTTTCCTAGTGATAAAGGTGACTCTCAGGCTGGGATTGAGGCTCAGCAGTAGAGCACTCACCTATCATGTGCGGAGGCCCTGGGTTCAATCCTCAGCACCACATAAAAATAAGTAAATGAAATAAAGGTATTGTGTCCAACTACAAGTAAAAAATAAATATTAAAGAAGATGAATCTCATAACTGACCATGACCATGTTTCCATTTGCACAATAACTCCTGGGAGCTCAATCATATCTAATTAATGACACTGAGAGCCCAGGGCTGGTCAGCCCAGGGTATCTATCTGGTCAGCCAACCTGCCACCTGGCCTCATGGTTCTTTGGCTTTAATTTCAGTAACAGTAGGCCCCATAAGAATATAGTCACCAGTCCCTTGGCCTGGACTCTCCCCCAGATTTGTGCCCCTCTAGTACACCACCCAGCATCTGCATCCTGAGCAGGTGGCAGGCAGTGGTGGAGATGCTGGCCCTGTGCCTCTTCTCTCTCTGACCTGGCATCCTCTGGCTGAGGGCAATTTGACTCTTCCTGGAAACCTCCATGGCAATGCCATGAGAGCTAACCGCCCTGCTCTGTTCCCAGTATGAGTCAGTGCACATCATCCTGACAGTGCTGTGAGGGGACTCTACAGTCCCAAGTCACAGGTGGGGAGACTGAGGAAAAAGCAGTCAATGTGCAGAGCTTGGGATTTGTGCCCTGGTAGGCTGACTTCGGAGGCTGGACTTGTCCTCACAGCCTCTCCAGGATTCCAGGGCGTCTTCCTCAAGGGGCCGGCATCCTTCCAGGCCCCACTTCTGGCTACTGCCCCTCACACCGCCCAATGCCCGCAGGCTTCTTGGTGGAGGAACCTCTACCAGAGGCATGAACAATTCAAACTATGCCCTAGAACGACGAGTGCAGGGGTCAGCGTTTCCACAGGACAGGGAAAAGGGTATCGGAGCCTCAGGTTCTGGCTCTGGGAACCACGAGAACATCTGGAAAGTGGGAGCGACAGGGAACCAACGTAAAGAAGTCATTGTGGCCGGCCCAGCGCCTCCTCCTTCCCTAGCCCCTCCCCGCCCCGCCCACGCCTCCTGCTCCCCTAGTCCCTCCCCGCCCCGCCCACTCCTCCTCCTCCCGTAGACCCTCCCTTCCCTGCCTGTGGCTCCTCCTCTCCTAGTCCCTCCCCTCCCCGCCCACGCCTCCTCCCCCTAGCTCCTCCCGCCCCGCCCGTCGCTCCTCCTTCTCACCTTAGTCCCTCGCCGCCCGTAGCCCTGCTCCCTGTTCGCCGCTCCTCTTTTCATCCTAGCCCCGCCCCCACTCCGCTCCGCCCTGAGTGCCCCGCCCTTCCCTCCTCCCACTCCTTCCCCGCCCCGCCCTCTCGTCCTCTGCGCAGGGTATTGTGGGCTGGGTCATCCGCTGGAGGCCTTGTCAGGACTACTTTTCCCAGGAAGCTGTGTGCGCCGCTGGAGCTTCTGGGAGTTGTAGTCCGCGGGGCGGGGACTCCGCGTCCCATCATGCAGTGCGCAGCCGGCGATCGGGGGGGTTTGGGCCGAGGGTCGCTGCGGCTGCGGCCCTGGTCCGGCCGGGCTGGGTTGCTGAGCTGAGCAGGGTGCTGGCCCCAAGGCGATGATGGGCAAGGAGGAGGAAATTGCGCGGATCGCCCGGAGGTTGGACAAGATGGTGACCAGAAAGAGCGCGGTGAGGGGCGCGGGCCGCCAGGACCCCGGGTCCCAAGTCCCGCCGAGACCCCATCGTGCCCACCGCAGGCGGGACGAGATGTCGCCCTGGCCCAGACCCCCGCCCCGGCCCGCCCTCCACCTCGTCCCCGGACCACCGCTCTGGATTAGACGCCGCCCCGCCCTGCCGGTCCTCCCGCCCGTAGGCGGCAGGAGGCGTTCCTGTCCTGGCCCGGCTTCTCCTTGTCTGTCACAACCCTTAAGAACGAGGTTCCTCTAATAAATTCTCTCCCTCCCTTAGCCGGGCCTCAGCCAGCAGCTAGCCGGTGTGGGCAGGTGGTGGAGAGCGGAGGAGGGCCGGCTCTGCCCCTGCAGCCAGACCACTTGACTGCGGATGCTGAGCCTCTTAGGAGGCGTGCGAGGCCTCCAGGGTCCAGCCCAGCTTCATATGTTGGCAACCCGTGCAGCCTCCAGGGAGCATCCTTTGCGCATCCTGCATCCTGCCTGGCTCGGTTGGGGAGGGGTCTGGAAGGAGCCCGCCAGCGCACTGACTGGGACCGCGCCCCCACGGGACAACTCCGGGTGGTGAAGGCGGCTGAGTCACGGGCTTTTCAGGCCTGCGTAGCCTGCCCAGGGCTGTGACTTCAGTGTGGGTCGGGGTAGCTGTTTGGAACAAGCAGGGTTGGGCCTTGTTTCCCGTTGGCCATGGTCGGGCGTAGGGTGTACACCAGGAAGGGGGCAGGCTCCCACACATTTGTTTAAGCTGGAAACAACCCCGCCAAGACTGTGCTTACTTACCTCTGGGTTATGGTGGGCAGCAGAGAGGGAGTGAACAATGACCTGCTGACCATAGAAAGGTGTTTTGTTCCTTGAAGGAACCCTAAGTGGGAGGGGGCTGAGATGGGGGAATGTGAGGGGAGGTAGATGGGCTTGATGGGGGAAAGAGGACCACTGGCAGGAAGACCTGGTGGCCTCCTGGCACTTTGCTGGACAAGGGCTGGAGGTGATGAACTGAACCATGATGGTGACCTGCCCCTGACCAGTCTGTCCCTCTCTTTTCTGACAATGGCAGATGCTTCTGATGGCAATACATGAGCTGGCAGGAGGGGTGACAGGGCATGGATGGCTGGTGGAAGCACAGCATGAGAGGATGTAGAGGAAGGGCCTCCAGGATTCTTGCAGCACTTGAGAGGACCCTTGGGGACTTGAGGCTTTAGTGTGGTTTTTATGACTCTCTGGAGCTGTGTCACCTGGTGCACATAGCTGCTGGGGAGGACTGCCTTTGCCTCTGGGGGATCACCTGTCCTCCCAGAGGTCACCTCAGGGCTGGTCTTTGCAGGGCCAGAGGGGTAGGATCTACCTTGGTGGGGTAAATAGGGGGTGCCTTAACATAGAAGTCACACATACTGGGGCAGGCCAGCTTCTCTACCTGAGTGGCTGTGGGTTGTCTTGGCCCCCTTGTAGTGTGGGGAGACACAATGTGAACATACAGTGGGATAAAGTGATGTGGTTTGTGGAGGACAGCAAGGCAGGGGCAGGGTAGGGTATTACATGAGGTGAGTCCTAAGTAGGAGAAGGTGTTTGAACAAGCTGGGGGACATGAAATCTGTCAATGTGCTGGGGAGGGTATTGGGCAGAGCATCTTCAGGAGCAAGGATCCTGGGGTGGCACCCTTAGGGAATATGGAGGAGCCTGTCTGCTGTGGAAGTGTGATGAGGATTTTAAGGAAATAAAGATCTTGGGCAGGGATGGAGCAGAGGAGGGAGACCAGGGGATTTGTTGCAAGGTCCAGAGGAGGGATGGGGGCTGTCCTGGGGGGATGCATGAGGAGTGGGACTATGAGCCTTGTGGGTGCTAGTTGTGATGTAACCAGAGTGAGGGTTCCCTAAGGGTTTGGCCTGCTGAGCACTATAAGGAGAGGCTATCCTACCCACCAGGGCCTGGATGGGACAGGGGGCCAAGGAACTTGGGGTATACCTTCATCTGGGTTTGTTCCTTACTACTGGGAAGGAGCTGTGGCCTTTCTACTCTTCTTGTTTGGTCAATGACCTGATGTTGAGTGAGGTCAGAGAGGTCATTGCCAGGAATGTGGGTTGGGAAGCCATGTTACCTGTGAGGAGTGAGACTACAAAGCCCTTCCTTCTCCTACCCTGAGATAGGGGCAATAAAGGCCCCCTGCCATGGGGCAGAAACTCTCTTGGTGCAGAGCTCTGAGCATCTCCTGGTGGAATAATTATGGTTTCCTTCTGATCTCCAAATTGTTACTGCCTTGTGTTTTCCCTCATGGGCAGGAGGTAAGATTGTCTGCTGAGGTCTAAAGTCCCTTTATGAAGGTCCTTTCTCCTTCCAGGAGGGAGCCATGGACCTGCTGCGGGAGCTGAAGGCCATGCCTATCACTCTACACCTGCTCCAGGTAGGCCCTGCCTGCTGTAGCCCAGCACAGTTCCAGGAATAGCCATGCCGCCGCCATGTGGCAGGGCTTCCTATGCCTACCCCCACCCTAGGGTTTGGTTGGCACAAACACCAGTTTTGAGGAGAGGGTCCCTGCCTTTCTCTAATGCTTGATGAGGCAGGGAGGGTACATCTGAGAATAACTCACTCTGTCCTGGGTTCCACGTGGGACAAGAGCCACTAAGAGAGGTGTCTACTTCCTCATGACTGGTCCCCAGACCCTGCCTTATGGAAGCCACCAAGGGTCTTTTAAGAGGGTTTGACTCCTGGGATGGGTCTCCACCATCTCCCAACCTAGGCCACTTGCCTTACAGTCCACCCGTGTTGGGATGTCTGTCAACGCCCTGCGGAAACAGAGCTCGGACGAGGAGGTCATTGCGCTGGCCAAGTCCCTCATCAAGTCCTGGAAGAAGCTCCTGGGTGTGGGTCAGGCCACATGCTGGTTCAGGGGACACTTGGCCTCTTGCTGGCTGTGCTACCCTGAGCTGGCCTCCTGGAAGTGGGCTACAGGAAGTCTTGAGCCAAGCTCAGGGTGGAAGTGGACCAATGGGTGCCCATCAGTGATGGGCGGGATAGTCTGTAGGGCATGACTGTTGGAACAAAGGTGTGTGTTGGGGAGTGATTTCCATATAGAACAGGTAGAGAGCAGAGTCAAGTGCAGAACCTGGACTGAACATTGAGGACATCCAGGAGCCCTAGAAGGAGGGAGTTGGGCTGTTTTAGATCACACAGAGGAGAAGAGTAAGGCCAGGATGCTCCAGGTTCCCAGTGATGGAGAAGGAGGAGATGGAGCTACCACTAGAGAAAGTTGGGTTGAGGGAAGATGGTCTCCTCCTGGGGACAGGATGCCTGGGCAGCACAGATCCCCCATGGGGTAGGGAGGTAGCCTTGTTTCTGGACCTGGGAAGGACCAAGCCTCTCCTGAGTTCTGTCCACACCCTTGAGAGACGACCATCATCTCTTGAGACTTTCCAGTTGTGTGGCCTTTGGGAGTACCATATTCATGTCCTAGTCCCCAAGGCAGGCCCTGGATGGGCGGAAGGGGGCCCTGGAGGGGCCTCACAGTGAGCTGCTTGATTGGGGAATGTGAGGGGAGGTAGATGGGCTTGATAGGGGAGAGAGGACCACTGGCAGGAAGACCTGGTGGCCTCCTGGCACTTTGTTGGAAAAGGGCTGGTGGTGATGGAACTGAACCTTGATGGTGGCCTGCCCCTGACCAGTCTGTCCCTCTCTTTTCTGACAATGGCAGATGCTTCTGATGCCAAAACCAGGAACCGGGGAAAGGGCACACCTCTGCCCACATCATCCTCAAAGGATGGCTCAGAGGCCATGGATCCCAGGTAGCATACCTGAATTCAGGTGTACACCCTCCTGCCTCAGCAGAAAAAGGGTGCTGATGCTCATGTGCCTAGGCACTGCACTGAAGGAGGGGCTTTCTCTAAGGATGTTTGTCAGCCTCCTGCTGGGCACTGTGTCTCACAGCTGAGACTCCCTGCCCCAGCCATCTGAGGTGGGTGGCCATGTCTTCCCAGAGGTCAGTGAGACTCCTGACATACATCTTCCTCAGCAGAGAGCTGCTGCACATCTGATCCTCTGTAGGAACCCTCTGCCTGCTTCCTCAAGACCCTGTCCTGGTCTAGTTCTGGATGTCCCCTTCAGCCTGGTGTCACTTGAGGCTAGAACCCCTTCTACAAGATCCTGCTCAGAATCAGAAGCAGGGTGTTTGATTCCCCTCTCCTGTCCGAAAGTATATGTGGCCATCACTGTCCCCAGGAGGGAAGTCAGGCTCCTGTTGCTATGGAGACTGGGAATTCTGCTGGTGACAGGCTGTGGTTGAGGGTCGCTTTGCCCTTGACCAGTCTGGGCAGTAAGTGAATGCAGGCTGAACAGGACAGGCTGAACTTTGGGCAGCTCCTACGTCATCTTTCCTCCAGGCAGCTATAGGTCACTCCCTGTCCTTGGTTTGCCATCATCAGAGAGAGGTATTTGTAAAGTGGTCCATGGTTGGGTCCTCTGCAAGGGGAACACTTTAGAGGTGTCAGGAAATCCCCAGCTCATTTTGAGCAGCTGGGGATGCTGCACAGATCATTCTGGGAAAAGAATCCAGCATTCTGTCCCCATTTGGGGAGTGAGCCCTGATCACTAGGGACTTTACAGTCTACTTCTTCCTCTGGGCAGCTGGGCAGGCTGCATGGGCATTGACTGAAGATAGGCCATTGCCAGGGCCTGTCAGGGTACAGCAGATTGGCTTTGAAGGTGGGGATGGTGCCATGACATTTACTTTTCTGGGGACCAGCACCTACTAGGGTGCTTGTGGCCTTAAGTCTAACCCTGTCTCTCCAGCCGCAAGAGGCCGGAGCTGCCCAGGATGCTGTCCACCCCAAGGATTACCACGTTTCCCCCAGTGCCTGTTACCTGTGATGCTGTGCGCAACAAGTGCCGGGAGATGCTCACCACTGCCCTGCAAACAGACCGTGAGTGCCTGGCAGGCCCTGGCTGGATATGCACCAAGACTCACAGGGTGGCCTGCCCCTGCCTGCTGTAGAGGGCTGCTTCAGGGATGTGGCTCTCTTTCCCCAATCTGTTGTGACCCTGGAGGAGGCAGGAGGTGTTTTGGGTTACCAGAGAACCTGGATCCTGGGCAGTGACCCCAGGGATGTGAGTGTATCTCCTCGCTGCCAGGGTTTGGTGCAGGCAGAAAAGCAAGTGGGTGGCAAGTGAGGGCTCCCTTTTGCAGATGACCATGCGGCTGTTGGTGCAGACTGTGAGCGACTGTCGGCCCAGATTGAGGAATATATCCTTTGTGCAGGGATTTTGGGGCCCAGGGCTTCTGGTGGTCTATAGGCTACTGGCCCCAGGTCCCCTTGGTGGCTGGGGGATATCATTGCTGGGCTGCCCTGTGCCTCTCTGGATCATGGGGTGGCTAGCCCAGGGAGGGCCCTCCCTGGAGGAGCCAAGAGGCTGGCATGGCCTGCTGGTGGGGCCTAGGTCTCAATTAGGAATGTGTCTGGGGGAGGTGCAGCACTGTGGCCCCTCAGCTCCTCACCAGGCTGGGTGGGTGGCGTGCTCCTGTGTAGCTGGGCAGAACATCCCCACATAGCCCCCAGCAGGGCAGGTGGAGCACAGTGGCCTCATGGGTCCTTAAATGCCTGCACGCATCTTCCGGGATGTGGGAAACACAGACATGAAGTACAAGAACCGTGTGCGCAGTCGCATTGCCAACCTGAAGGATGCCAAGAACCCTGACCTCCGGCGGAATGTGCTGTGTGGTGCCATAACCCCCCAGCAGATTGCGGTGATGACATCAGAGGTGAGCCCCACTGCAGGGTCTGGGGGCTGCTTTTGTGAGGCTGCAGGCTGAGCAATTGGCCCCTCACCCCAGGAGATGGCCAGTGACGAGCTGAAGGAGATCCGCAAGGCCATGACCAAGGAGGCCATCCGTGAGCACCAGATGGCACGCACAGGTGGCACTCAGACAGACCTGTTCACCTGTGGCAAGTGCAGGAAGAAGAACTGTACCTACACGCAGGCGAGTGGCTGCCACTTCCTGAGCCCATGTCTTTGGGCATTCATACTCTCCTTGGAGCCCACACCTGTCACCGCCTGGCTGGGTGGGGGCTGCTCTCATGCCTGGACTTAGGCCAGGGCAGAGGCCCAAGTGTGGACTTCTCCTGCATTTTCAGGGCCCTCATTTCCCCAGGACTCCCAGCCTAGTAAGTAGTGTCTCAGGTGGGAGTCCCACTTGATCTGGGGTACAGAAGCTGGAGGGCTGTCCTGCCTAGTACAGGAGACATGAGGGTGTCAGTGCAGGCAGGATCCTGACCCTGCTGTGGAAGTGGATGCCAAAGTGTCTGGGGAGACAAGTGATGGTGGGAGCTTGGGAAGAAGGTAGAGGTTATAAGTCTGGTGAGGCTGCGGAGGCCAGTGAAAACTGCTGTTTCCCTGTGGAAACAAGGCCCCAGCCCTGCAAGGGGCCTTGGTCTGTGCAGGGCTGTCTTGGTTTCCCATGGTCCTGTGGGATGAGGCTTGCCCTTGTGCCTCCTGGAAGGTGGCTATGGTCACTGGCATCCCTGCTAGTCTCCCCAATATGGGGTCCCTCCTATTCTCAGCTGACAGTCTTAGCTTTGCTAGGCCCTTCAGACCCATACAAGGACTTCCCCATTGGTGGCTCATGTACCAAGAGGCTCAGCTCTGGAAGACTGGGCATTCTCAGATCAGGTCACCCAGGCTGCCCCAGGGGCTGAGGCCAGCACTGCTTAGGTCAAGGGACACCCTTTGCAGAGATTGGTGGTGACCCTGGGCTCCACCTGCCCTACAGGTACAGACCCGCAGCTCTGATGAGCCCATGACCACCTTTGTTGTTTGCAATGAATGTGGAAACCGCTGGAAGGTAGGTGGGTGGGCTCAGGACAACCCCCAACCCTATTCTCTGTAAGTGGGTACCTTGGCTTAGGTAGGGTCTGTGGCGTGAACCAGGGATGGCCATGCCCAGCCTGCCTCCTAGTAATTTCAGGGATGGTGGGGGCGGGTGGAGACCCCAGCCCTGGCGGTCCTGAAACCATGGCTTGGTCACCTCACTGCTTCCCTGCAGTTCTGCTGAGCACTTGTGCAGTTGCGCTATAGCCCCAGGTCCTGGCCAATGCTGCCCCTCCTGCATTCTTGGTGGACACAGCTTCTCTGGAGACCCCCAGTAGGCGGCATGCCCTGCCCCAGCTGCCTGGTGTGCACCTTTCTGCCCTTTGCCCTGTTATTAAATGTTTTGTTTGCCATCTTGCCATCCTTGGGCCTTGCTCCTGGTGGGCTGTACACAGGCTTCAACTGAGCCTGTTTCTTCTCTGCTGCTGTGGACACCCTCCCTGGGGACAAGCAACTCTTGGGCTTAGCCCTAGCAGGGCAGCTTCAGAGGCAAGAGCTTAGGCGACTTTTGGAGAGATCACCTGTGCCACGAGGCTAGGATGATGGGGTGGCGCTGCTTCTCCTGAGTGTGCCATGGGGCAGGCCCTAACGACTTGGCCGAGGGCAGGTGGGGAAGGGGCTTTGTATATACAGACAACCTGCTCAGCACCCACCCATGGGATGGGCAGCCAGGGCTCAGCCCCCTCTTTAGGACAGCCTGCCTCATCCTGCCTCCACTGGGGGAGGCAGAATGCAGTTTTCCCCAAGGGAATGGGGTCCTGGCCCTTGGCCAATTCCTGCTTGAAGTCATTGAAGCTCCCAGAAATTCAGAGGAATGAGATGATGCCTTATGGAGCCTGTGATGAAGACAACATTGTGACAGCACCAAGGGACTCTTGGGAAGGTTGCCTCCTTAGTGGCCACCCCTCTGGGAGGTATGATACCTACCAGGGACTCCTGCAGTCTGTGTCAGCTCAAGCCTGACCCTGCTTCAGGGCTCAGGAGGCAGACACCAGGTCTGGAGCCCACCTGGGTGAGGCTGAGTTCAGCTTCCAGAGGCCACTGCTGTGGGGAGGGTCTGGGAGCAGTCAAGGATGATCCCTCATTTTCCTGTCTCCCCCCACAAAGTGGACATAAATATAGGCTTCTGTTTCAACTACACCTTCAAGAATAAGATTTCATTTTGGGGGTGTAGGAATGGAGATAAATATGAAAACTTCTTTTCTTTCTTGGTAAAACATACAGTAAGGAGATGTTTCCAGGATTAGAGTTCATGAATATGTAAAATATATTCAGGTCCTGTCACTTGAACCTGGTTCTGGGTCTGGTTCTGCAGTGCAGACAGCTCAAGTAGGAGGGTCTCCTGCTACCAACAAGAGACATGTCCTGGGCAGCAGCAGGCTGGTGAGGGGTGGAGTCATGGGTGTGGCACTTCCCCTTGGGCCTGGGCTGCTTCCAGGGGTGGAGATCCAGGGCCAGCCACATGGGGGCCACTAGTGTGAGCCCTGAGTCTGCCCACCAGAGGGTGGGGTTCCTGAGCCCTTTGGAGCCTAGGCCTCGGAAGAGGACTGTGGGGACCCCCGGAGCAGCAGGGTGCGGTAGGCCGGGGAGCTGAGGAAGCGAGGGTACGAGTCCCTGTGCATGAGCGTGTAGATCTGCAGCTGTGCATCGTCAAATGTGTGCGCAGACGGCTCCTGCATCTTCCTGTTGATGCCCTCCCGCACTCGGGAGTCCAGGCTCACCTGTGGGACGGGGCACCGAGGTCAGAGGCATCCTCCCCAGGCCACCCCAACCCGTGTCAGCAGCTGGCGCACCTCCTTGGGGGACAGGATGGACACGTAGTCCTCATAGATGAGCCGCGCCTTCTCATCCACCACATGCTGGTTGGCCTCTGCCTTCAGCTCCTCACAGGCCAGCCAGAAGAGCATGTTCTCCTCGCTGTACTCTGTCCGCAGGAAGGCGCGGAACACACTGCGGCCTGCGGGGCTGTGCATCAGCTTGTCGAAGGACTGCGCCCAGCTCTGTACCTCCTCAGGGCTTGGGGGGGTGCTGAAGGCAGGGACGGAGCACATTAGGCCTGTCCCCTCCTGCCCCTTGACACAGATGCCCCTGGCGGCAGAACTCACCAGGCATCACAGCTGGGGAGGGGCTGCAGCTTGCTCTCCTGTGAGGCCTGCCATGCTCGCCGCCGCTCTTGGTTCCTGGCAGCAGAGAGGAAGGTGGCTCTGCCCTGGGCACCTGGGACTTCCACAGGTGCTGCCATAGCCTCATGTGGCCTTGGCATGTGAGCAAGCGTGATCTGTGCCTGGCACATGTGTAGGGAGCATGGTCCTGAGCACTGGATCTTTCCACACTTTCTGGGGCCCTTACTGAATCCACTTATACAGGCTGATGTCCTGGCCATAGTACCCAGTACTCCTTCCTGGTACCCATAGTACTTCTTCCTGGTCAGTAGTTTGACCATCTGTGCTTCTGTGGCTCCTCAGCTTCTCCCCTTCCCTGGCTTAATGGGCAGGATCTAGGGCTTCTCAGCCTGACCTCTGTTTGTCTCTTTCTGAAGAGGCTACTCACAGGCCCACACTGCAGGCCTGATATCAATAATTGGAACTGCTGGTTGATGCAGGGTCAGAACCTTCAGTCTGTGTGTTTACATCTGTCTGGTCCTGGATCCTGACCCTGGCTCCAAGGGAAACTTGTTCTGTCAGTGCTGGCCCCAAGTCTATGCCCAGCCAACTGCTGCGTTGGGGGACAGACATCTAAAGCCCAAAGGTCTAGATACACTGCGTTCCTGCCACATCCTGTTTCTTGGTAGACACAGTCCCCACCCTGTCCTGTCCCTTGAATTCATGGCTGAGCCCCTTGCCTGGGCTCAGGCCTTGTTGTTACTGTTTAGTAGACTCCATTGGGTCCCCAACCCTGAGGAGGGCCAGGCTTCTGCAAGGCCCATGACCCTCCGCTTCTCTACATACCTAAGGGAATCCTGTCACCACCTGGAGGCTTCACTGCTTCCCTTGTGCAGATACCTTGGGTGCTAGGACTGCTGTTCCCTCAGCTGGGTCTCTGCTCAAATGTACCCTACTGCAGGGTCTGGGCCTCTTGTGTTCCTCTGGGCTCCTAGGGTGTTGCCTGGGCTGGCTCATAGAGGCACTGATGGGTGTGTGCAGTATGCTCCCGTGTGCACGCAGCAGGCCTGGTCCTTGCACATGGGGAGCCCTCAGTACATCAGGCACAGGAGTCACATAAAGTCCTCCAGGGGGCGTGGGTGCTGGCTACTAGGGCCCAGCAGTCCTGGGACAGGACAATGCTTTGAGGTGGAAAGGGCCAACTGCCCACAGGTGATGCCATGGAGCCACCCATGAGTCCCTAGAGTCCCTGGGTTTGGCCCCTCTCAGTGAACTATGCCCCCCAGGCCCACATACCAGGAGCAGCTGCAGCAGCAACACCAGCACAAACAGCAGGGGTTGCGGCTGGGGGCCGCCGGGGGGACCACATCATGGCTGGACATTGGGGGGGGCCTGTCCGCCTCCTCTGGCCCTGTGTGCTGGGAAAGATGGGGCTGCCTTAGCCTCTAGGACAGAGCCCACTGGACCCGGCATCTGGCTATGCTCCCAAGGGCATGACCCTCAGCCCCCAGATACCCTGGAGATCCTCCCAGCTCCTCTCCCTGCTTGCCTCCCACCCTCCCTGGGGCAGAGGTGAGGAGGAAGTGGCTTACCTGCTTCTCAGCCTCATGCGGGGTGGGCATGGGTGAGTGGAGGGGACTGCCCAGGCTCTGTGGTGCCAACTCCAGGACCTTCACCACAGCCTGGGGGAAGGGGTCAAGCTCACTAAGCACCCATGACTCTGGCCCCTGCCTATTCTCTAGGTCCTAGAAGAGAGGCCCCTTCCAGAATTTTTGCCTCCAGCCTTAGTTTACACTAGGGCCGGGGGCAGACCCAGGTCAGTGAGGAAGGGGCTGCAGCAACCTTTGGCTTCTCACTCTAGACTGGGCCCCAAATGAGGCACCCACAGGAGGTTCCAGGACACCCCATCCGCTCAGTCCCTGGGAAGCCGGAAGCCTGGGTTCCTCTTTCTTGGTTTCCGGCTCCTAGCCCCTCCCAAGGGGGCTGGGGCTTGAGGCTGGTGTATGGTATGTGGGGGTGTCAGACACTTGGACCTATTTCTTACCCCTAGGGTCTTTCTGCCTAGACTATGGGGTTAGAGTGTGGGCAGAGGTGCTCCCCACCAAAAGGGACCCAGAGAACTCTGACTACTCACCTGGGACTTGGCCAGAGGGGCAGCTAGGCCTGCAGCATTGAGGACGTGAGTGGGACTTGAGGAAGGACTTCCTGAGGGTGTGGGGAGTGGAGCATGCACTGGTGAAGAGGAACGTGTATGGGGAAACAAGGTTCCTTGGTCCTCAATGCCTCTCACACCTTCCCTCCAACACTGTGGGCTCCCCTTCCCTCCCTGCCCAACGCCTCCAGAAACTGCAGGGTGTTGGAGTCAGGGAAGGAGGCGTGGGTAGCTCCCCAGTTGGAGCCTCAGTGTCCCTGGACCACCAGTGAGATGTACAGGGAGCTCATTCCCCTCACTAAAGCTAAATGCAATCCCAATGTCTCCAGGGACAATGGAGCAAGGTGGCCAGTCAGAGCCCTGGAGGAAGTTTTGAAAGCCTTACCCCCCATTTGCCTGTGCCCACCTGTGTTCAAGTCAGGGCCTGCAAGGCCTCCAGCTCTTCATATCCACCACCCTCCCTTTTAGAGGCCAAGAGGCTCAGAATCCATCCCACTTAATTTTCTCATTACTTTCTATCCACCTGCTGCTCCTCCCCCAGGCTGTGGCCTTTTAACCCTGTTTCTGCCTGTTTGGCCTCTTTGAGCCTTCCAGGGCCCTCCCTGTATGTGCTGACAAGAGGGGACAATACCTGAGATCTACACACTTAGGGGGCCTTGGCCCCTCACTACCCGCCTGGCTTCCTCTGAGATCCTGGTCCCACAGGCTCCCTCGAGCTGATAGGGACACAGAATAGTTGCAGCAGGGCTCCTCCAGGGGCCAAATTTCTAGGGAAAGGAAGGGGCACAGCCACTGGAGGTCTGGTGGCACTCAGAGCTCTCTCTTCCTCCTCTAGATTCTCCCTGCAGATGTCCTCAGAGGCTCCACTCAGAGTGGGACAGAAGAGGGTGTCTGTGGTGTCCAGCCTGGGTGCTGGGGACCTGGTTTGGTGCAGAGATGGGAGCAAGCCCTTTCCTCCCAGGCAGACACTGGACCTGGCTCCCTCGGCAACCCAGTCGGAACCACACATATCCCCAGAATGCCCACGGTGCCCTGGACCACTGCCTTTCCTTCTGGTGGGGCACACGGTCTGAATCAGGGTCTTCTGGCCTCTCCTCCTGGCATT